TAAAGTGGGGCGCCGGGTATTAGTAATAGCCAAAGTATGGCGGGGAGGTTTTCTCTGCAATATTGTTCTGTCAACTGAGAATAGTATCTTATTTAATTATAAAGCAGCTTATGGTAGAAACCTTACCATAGTAATGGTAGCAGTGAACATGAGCATAATCTGTCGTGCTTTTAGGACCAAGTAGTTTTGGGAATAAGACACCGGATTCCACAGGGTTCGGTGCTGCGGTTAACGGCTATAATCGGTGGCAGAACAGTGCGAGTGCAGCGATTACCAGTCAACACGCAGATCACGCTGGAGCATTTTCAGGCAGGCCGCATTCTCTGATGCCGATGTCTGTTGCTCCTGTCATGTCATCAAATGGTCATGCCAACTGGTAGCACAGCGCTCCCTCGCTTCTATGTACTCTACACCATGTATCTCTGTCGTGTTTTTGTATTGTTGCATTCCACATAGCACTGAACTAATCACGTCAACGACGTCAAAAATAAATTTTTGCTAGTTACCGTGAGAAATCACTCTCCCACGAAGACACGTTAGGCACCGAGGTTAAGAATGTTTTGTCCCCCTTTAAAGGTAGTCGGCTTTAAAGTATAACAGTTTCTGGGAGGATGTAAATACATGACTAATTGTTTTTAAACTCTGGAAGTCACTCATTTAGAAAATGTTGCTTATTGTCGCTATAACCATTCGTTTGCCTTGTTCTATAGGTAATGGAAGTTTTGACTGTATCAAGAACAGATGTGGGTCTGTCGGATTTGTTATGGAAGATCGATATGAGTTTGACGGGCAGATCAACAGTGCGAAATCTAATTTATGCTCTTTCGTAATAACCAACGTTGTTCAGAACTGTTTATTGATTAACCATGTTAACCTACACTCACTCATAATAGGCAGCCGAGAGGCAAGAATTAATGAAGCTTGAAAATCAGACGGATTCGCTTCCTTGGACAAAAGATTACCAATCAGTGAGATAAAAAGTGCTTGATGTAAATTTTGTATTTGTATCAAAATTGGGACGAACTTTGTAGCTACTGTCAGTAAATAGCCTGCAGGTATTGAAACATTTCCTTCCAACTTGCTTTGTAAGTTCAAGTACTGTCTACGTTTTCCGTCCTGTATTTCATCTTGATGGATTCACGTGCGCAACTATTTTCTCTAACTATGCAGCATGAATGCAATTTAAAAAAAGTTTTTTAGCTTTCCAGAGCGACTAAAGCTGCGGTCAGTTGTCTCTAGAATACTATAGTTTCCCTATATGATTTATTACATTAATGATGCTTAGTAATATTTCTGTGAGAAATACGGCTATTGGCGATTACAAATAGTAGAAAAGGTGGTCAACAAATTCTGCTGTTGCGTTTAACGTATAATGCAACCACCGTGTTGTCAAGACCAAAATTGGATACCACATTGGTACTGCGTATGGTACATTCGCCCTGTGGCAACTGCCGAGTACTACTCTGTGTGTATGTATTGGAGGATGACGAGTCCGACAGGTCCTTTCATCCTTAATAAAATGAATGAGGCTGACAGCAAAACAGAGTTGAATGATTGACAGCCGTGAACCGTGATATTCCTCAGGTAGCATCATTTTTCGATATGCTGCTAAATGAGGTTCCCACAGACTTGTTTTTTGCAATTTTTATCCTTCAGGCTCCGTTGAACTTCTTCAGTTCATCCTGAAGATCTTCGTGTGGTACATTTACTTTTGAAATCTCGTTTCGTGTCTCTGTGGTCCAGTAATGGTCGATTGTTCTTGCAATGGATTCTCCTTGCCAGTTCATAACTTCACTCATGCAGTGACATCACAGTCTCATTTTTACTCATGCTCAATCACTGGTTTTTCTGATACATCTTTCCATGCTGAACTGCTAGTTTGCAGTGCTTCGTCTTTGGGGTCCGCATTTTGCAAATGCAAGTCCAAATATACCGAAAATTTCTGTTTTCATTACCAAGACCATCAATGACGCAATTTAACGCCTTTTGTGTGGCTTGTGAACCGAAGGTGTAACGAGATGCTCTAGCGAACGATGATGCGGCTATATGATTGGCAACAATACCTAATGCCTTTTTGTCAAATTTGCTCGTTTACACGCTTCCAACGATTTAGGTACCTGCGACTACTCTATCACAGGTGTGAGCGATGGCGATGCAAATTTATTCACATATCGTATAGTTGCCACGTAGCGTTCTGAAGGCGTATTTCAAAAGCCAGAATAGTTATGAGTAGATTGAGGTACTAAATTATCATATACCAATCTTGGCAGTTGTATTCTTGCTGTGAATAGCGTTAATCTGAATGAGGTTTTAACCATTTACTTGACAAGTTTTAAAAACTGGCTAGATTTTGCGACCTCGTTTTAATGAAAGTCTGATGAATGTTGAACAACGACTTCAGGCTACCTATGACTGATATTCAGATCGAACAGTAGAATGATCATTTGGTTTGATAACGTTATTGATCCTTCGACACCGAACCAACTTTGAGAAAGAGTAAATGGTCGAACAATGCGATATATCGGTGTGACACCAGTGGCAATGACTTGTATAATTATTCGTTGAGGCAGCATTGGTGTATACTAGTGGTACTTCGCTGTGAACCAGTGGTTTCAAATACCGTAAAGGAAATTGGCTGTTAACATGTAAAATGAAAATATCATACATAGATCTGCTGTTTAAAGTCAATCAGATATTGAGGACAAAGAAAGCGGATTCCGACCCGGATGAGGAAGGATGAGTGTTTGAGATTGACGCAAGTCTCCCGTACAGCTCGATTAGATAACTTTCATGATAGTGACTCATGAGTGCCAACGTTTTATGCGATCAGTTGCAACACGTGCGATTACGTTGATTTCGTTATATTTTGTTCTTGCTTAATCTTACGATACATTTTGAAAGTATTAAGAAGACCAGATGAACCAGAAAATGCTATGACAATGACTAGGCGAAAACCCACATTCCCCGACAGCTTCCGAAGTTGCATGAGTTTAAGACGCTTCTCACCATGCCGCTTTTCAGCATCGTTTTCAGCTTAGAAAAATCTGAGCTGCATCCTACGGACAATGAGAATACCCTCGGTTTAGAACACTTCGTGTGTTACCTCTTTCATCGTCTTAGAAGGCTTTTGTCTAGTTGATGGGGATCTAATTTCACACCACTTGTTTTTGTTATATCCAGGTTTTAAAGAACTATTGTGTGCCACATGCTTCATTTAAGAAAATCTGATTACGATGGAATTAGAGAAAATAGCTTCGTTCTTAATTAGATGGTGAGAGCTAGGGAAATGGGCTTCGATGATTTACGTCATCTTTTCTAACGAGGAACGACGATTGCGCGTTAT